CTCGAGACGTAATGTATCTTGACTCTTCTTTCTTAGTAGAAAAATGATCTGATGCAGAAGTGCAGAAAAAGATTACACGGACACGTTTGTATGAAATACAGGTACATGGAATTGCATGGAATAAAAAGTTGAATACACAAAGAATAAAGGAAGTAAACAGTATCATCAGTTCATCACTAACAGATTAATTGTTATTGTTTAAACTCAAGTAATGAATTCCGATGTGAATCTGCTTGCACAAAATTTGGCTAGCTAGCTCTCATTCTATAATTCCGCTCTATATTAAAAAAAACTTTTAACCTCCCTGACACTCGTTAGGCAATGATACAAAGTAAACATCGATGATGGCTGGTAAAATTGCGCTGGTGTAGTGGCTTCCATATTGAATTTTCACGAAGGCGATCTGGGTTTAATCGCGAATTTGTTTGCTTAAATTTACGTTTTCAACTTTATAAATGATGTTGAGTGGGTTTTTTTTTTTGTTAGAGATGATAGAACATGATTTCTAGATTGGCGAAGGAACCTTTTCATGCATCGTCGTTAGTTCCGGTCGTTTGCAGAAGCGAATTTAAAAATTGATTTTTTCAACTTCAGTATTTTTCTGTAATATCTCTAGGGTTAAGAGAGCCTCTTTTCAAAATACTAAATATATAATTTGTTTTCGAATTGATAAATCCAAACTCTTGATATTCGTCATTTTCACTTTGAAGCGGGAGTTGAAATGGCGTAATGGTTAGCACGTTGGATTTTCACGCTGACGACCAGGGTTAAATCTCCAGAGTGTCTGAATTTTTTTTTTCACTTTTTCAGCTTGAATTTACATTCTTATTTTCAAAATTGGACGGAAGACCTCTCATTGCTCGCAATGAGTTTCTAGTGTAATTATTATTTAACAAAACAATATTTAGCTGCTGAAAATGAGAGTGGGTATTTCCCCTCCTCCTCCTGCCTTTCTAAGTGCCTGTTAAGAAGCTTTCAAAATAACACAATTGCGGTTACAAGATAGCATGTCCTAAAGAAGGTACTGGAACTTTTAAAAAAAAAATAGTATTACACAGGTAAAATTGCAACGTATGTTTAACATATGTTGAACATACGTTGAACATATGTTCTGAAACATATCCGCCATAAAAAAAACGAGCAACATATGTTTTACATATGTTTATGAACATATGTTGATCATATGTTTAACTAATGTTGCTTATATGATTTGTATGAACATATGATTAACATATGTTTGTGTTCATATGTTTTTCATATGTTAAACATATGTTAATTTTATTTCTTACTTACATTATTATTTATTTTGTATTTCTTTGGAATGCAAAGTTAACTAAATAGTACTCTTGTCCTTTAATATAGATCTTGTCCTTTAACTACTTAATAATAAGAAATCAAAGAACACAATCTCAAGCATTAATCTTGTGTGTATTTTTTTCAATTTGTTACATAATTTTGGCTTTATTTCCCTGACAGTGGCTGCATTGCTTCTGAAATGATAAAGAAAAAAATAATTAAAATTAAGAAGTCCAAAGAGCTAGAGCCACGAACCATCAAAATGTGCATTAGATTTTAGACAAAATTGAAGTTTGGTATCACAAAGCCTGTCATGTGCTATATTATAGTTCATGATGTCATACTACTCTACATACAATTTTTTGTCACACAGGCCACAGTCTTTAGCACATGCGCAGCATCAAATATACAAATGAAGTTAAAAAAAAAATTTGTTGATTTTACTGTAGTTTTTTTTCAAAATTTGAATGTGGCCACACTCAAGTACCAAATCCAAACTTTGCAGACGGAAAAATATTACATAGATGCATCTTTATGCAAAATATCTTAGAGGTACTCGAGTGTGGCCAATATGAATTTTACATTATATGAACGTTGAGCTATCAGAAACTGAAGCAAGGTCCTCCAATTTAACAGTAATTATGAGTTCATTAAATATGTAAGTAGCCTAAATTAGTTATTAGTATATCACATTTATTCTTGTAAACTACATAATCCCTAATATGTCAATTATTTTGTTGTAGAATATCTTAAACACACATTTAACGTGTTATTTCATGTAAAATTTAGAATTACGTTCTTTTCATTCATGCTTACGTAAATCAATGATGACGTCATAATTTGACGTCGACTACATCTGAGCACAGATAATTTGAGGAAGTTTCTCCAATTCGGGTGTGGGGGTGGGGTGGGGGATGGGAGAAATACACAGAAATGTTTTGACAAGAAAAAAAATTCCTGAAAGAGGGTGCAGGTGTAAGACATTTCGATTCTCGTGAACAAACCGCTAAATTGACTCTTCTTACCATCTTAAGGGGTCCGTGTTTCTTGTGTGTGTGGTGGGGGCTTTCCAAGGACATCTGTTGGTTATTTTATTATATAAATCTAATAACACTGCGGACCCACCCCCTCTATAGATCCGTGTGTACGTATGTGCATCATTTTATAGATGTAGAAAAGTATCCGACCCAATGTCAAATGTGTACGAAATTCTTTTCCAACTGAATGCATTTTGAGGTAAAATACCGAGGTGATCCAATTAAAATGAAAAAAAGGTGTCCGACTCGCGATTTGCACACATAGGATGTACAGAGAGCGTACTATGATGTCGGTCGTGCCTTTCCAATACCTGTATTTTGGACCCTCGTTTATTATTAGGTGGTTTGCCTATACTGTCTTTCTCAATCACATCTAGGATGATCAGACATAGCATAGATCTGACAGCTTTAACAAATTAAATCCGCAGTTTCACTTTTCCGCGATTCAACACTGCTTTTCCGCAACAACAAAAAATACTGCTTTAAAGATTAAACTTTTTGCCTTTTCCGCGACTTATTTTAACATGTACCTCTTCCGTCACCCAGGTAAAACATGTTGACCATTGCCTACTTAGCACTGGATAAAAACAAAGATTAAAAACAAGCACTGGCCTAGATATTAAAAGATCTACAGAACGAATATATATACATGCTTTTAAAGTTCGGTGTGAGGTCCATATGTAATACATGTATATTTGTTACCACGATTTGTTTCTGCATGAACAGTTTCACTGACATGTAAAACATCATCACGGAAAAGCAGACAGGTTGCGAAAATAAAATCGTGGAAAAGCAGGTCGGCCATTAGATCATTAAGTGAAAAAAATAGATTCAAATGATGAATAGTTTGATCTATAAATAGAAGGGAATCCCTCTACAAGTGATGTAAAAAATGTTACTTGAGATGACAATTAAACAAAAAATAACGCTTTTGAAATATGAATATTCCAGGACATACTTTATTTGTCACGTCATATGATATACCCTATTTTAGTACGCGACATAACTTCGACATTGGAACATTTTTTTTTTTTTTTTTGGGGGGGGGGGGGGGGTAGAAAAGGCTCTTCACTAAGACTGGTAGTTTAGATGTCTTCGCTTCAATCATTTAAAAAATGTGGCAAGGTGGTAATTTTAACGCGATCAAAAGTTTATTCAATTTATTCAAAAGTTTATTCAATCGAATAAAAAAAAAGAGGAAGGGGGTCCAAACATAATTGACCCCGCCCCTTTCCCGGGTACTACTTTTCTGACACTGCATAACGATTTTAAGTGATTTTTTAATAAACAGATGAATGTAATATTGGAGACAAGCAACAATCATTTACTGATTTGAATACTTGAACTGTTCAACAATATATCAAAGTATAAGCAAAGGCGTAGTTTCTTATGCAGTACACTCTAATGTAGGTGTTTCGAAATTAAAACGCATGTGTTACGTTTTTCCGCTACGATCCCCCCCCCCTCCCCAAATAAATATGAATAAAAAAAATATGAAATAAAACACAAACATGAAAGTGATAGTACATAATAAATTTTAAGAAAAAATTGTGCTTTAAGGCGAGATACATATCTGGTCGGAAAAAAAAATCTAAATTCATCTATAAGTTACATTTTTTTTTCTAGAGTTTTTGTTTAAAACTTTAAAACTAAACGAAAATCGGCGAGACATTCAATTGTTTGAATATATTTTATTGTCAAAATGCACATATGAATCGGAAACAAGTCCTTCACACTCACAAAGTACTCTCCTATGATAATTCAGTTTCAGTTTAATTTAGAATAAGATCTTAAATAGGCTCGAATTCTCGCTACGAAAAGGATTTGACAATTACCGCACTAGACGTCACTTTCTATTTAAAATATGTTTGCACTTATATTTCTATCCAGTCAGATAAAGCTTTCCAGAATTTATTATATCAGAAAATAATATCGTATATTGCAGTAAGTCATACGTCTATAGTATTAGATACTTAAATACATAACTAAGACTATTGCAACGCTCATATGTACAAAGATAAGCAGATACTGTAGAACGTCCCTTCGTTTAAAGCCTTGAGGACATAGATTATTCTTATATGTACTACAGGATATAATGCAATCAGTTATACTCGCGCGCATGCAGTTATCGCATAAAGTGCAACATGAAATCAACAACTATCTTCTTTTTATTATATATTGGTAAACTAATCATGATGCTGATTGATACTTCTCTATTCAAATTTCGTTTTTTAAATGTGTTCATAAATTGAAATGCAATTTTTTTTTACAATGTAACGAAATGACGTTACGTTACAAATAATGACGTTCCTCACGCAAATTTCAATCAAAACAATGCCATACTGTAAAATCTCCTCTTGAAAAAGTATAATAGATATCTAAAAAAGAAAAACAGTAATGAAAAGCTTAAAGTCTACACTATCTTTATTGAAATCCTCGTTAATTTTTGAGTTGAGGCACATTTCGATGGTTCGTGGCTCTAGCTCTTTCATGTCAATTACATGTATAATTAATAAATATATACCGGTATTAGTTAGCACAAAGAGTAATTACTTGAGTACTTACAATTTTTTTCTTGCATCATGTCAGCATCAGGATGCACACGTGTTTGTTGGATTCTTTAGTGTTTCCAAAATATTACATTTGGCGACGAGGAAAATTAGCTTAATGGATCGATTACCAGAATTTGCAGCCTTTGATTACGCCGATAAAGCCGACGCTGGACCGAAATGGGAAAAGTGGATCCGTCGTTTGGAGCTTTTGTTTACCGGCATGGACATCGAAGACAACGGGCGAAAGCGTGCCCTTCCCCTTCATTACGCAGGAGAAAGAGTGTTTGATATCTACGAAGCAGAGAAGGGACACACAGCGCCCAATTATGCGGCCACAAAGCAAGTATTAGCTGATTATTTTTCTCCGAGAAAAAACCCTCAGATGGAAGTTTATAAATTCAGAAACTGTAAACAAAATGCTAGCCAATCGTTAGACGAGTATGTAACCAAACTGAGGAAATTATCAAAAGATTGTGAATTTGCAGATGCTGATAACGAAATTCTATCACAAATAATTCAGAATTGTCGCTCTAATCGTCTGAGGCGAAGAGCGCTGCGGGAGCCTGACATGAACTTAAAAACACTCCTAGATCTAGGTCGTGCCCTCGAGGTTGCTGAAACCCAAGCGCTAACTATGGAGGCCCAGAACGAACGTTACAGTGTTAACAACATACGGAAGCCACCTGGCAAACAACGAAGCCGCAACCCGAGAAGTAAAGATCAAGTGACAAAAAGTGAAAGCAATATTGACAAACCATGCGGAAATTGTGGCCTTACTCATTCACGTACATCAGTTTGCCCAGCAAAGGGACAGCAATGTCGATTTTGCAAGAAACTTAACCATTTCCAGAGAGTGTGCAGAGCCAAGAAACGTGCGTCAGGACAACACAGGAATCCAAACGTGTGCATGAGGTAGATTTCCGGCATGGGGCTGATTCAAGTGAAGAGGAATATATGTATTCAATTAATGGCAAGAAGGGACCTCAGAAAACTCTTAAAGTAAATGGTGTGTTGTGTGATTTTCTCTTGGACACTGGTGCTTCCGTAAACGTGTTAGATCAGACTACACATGTGAAAATAGGTAGTCCGAAACTCGAGAAAGAGAGCAATCCGGCACTTATACCCTATGGTGGAGGAAAGCGAATAACTGTGTTTGGAAGCTGCTGGCTAACAATCGAGTGGAAAGGAGCCATACAATCGCACAAATTCTATGTTGTAAAAGGCAATTATGGAGCCTTCCTAGGGTATCAAACATGTTTATCATTTGGACTTGTTCAGGTTGTTCACCAGCTGTCTTCTATTGCTTACAGATATCCTGATTTGTTCATTGGAATAGGAAAACTCAAAGACAGAACTGTGCGTATTCATGTTGACGAGTCTGTGAAACCTGTAGCTCAACGTAGTCGTCGAACGCCATTTCACCTAAGACCGAAAGTAGAAGCTGAACTTCAGAAACTTTTGGATGACGACATAATAGAGCGAGTGAAGGATGAGCCTACGCCCTGGATTTCTCCTATAGTTTGCGTTCCTAAGAAGAATCCAGAGGAAATCCGTGTTTGCGTTGACATGCGCGAGGCTAATAAAGCCATAATCAGAGAGCGTCATCTCATGCCCACCATAGATGAGCTTATTCACGACTTAAACGGAGCAGCCGTGTTTTCCAAGCTGGATCTTCGACAAGGCTATCATCAGTTGGAACTGGAACCTGCTAGTCGCTCTATCACGACATTCAACACCCATGTTGGAATATTTCGATACAAGCGCCTCAACTTTGGGGTGTCCGCTGCCTCTGAAATTTTTCAAGAGACTATCCGTAATGTTATTCAGGGAGTACGTGGAGCAAAGAACATATCGGACGACATTCTGTTATTTGGCAAGACTCAGGAGGATCATGATTCCGCCTTGACGGAAACTTTCAAAGCGCTTCAGGACAGTGGACTAAAGTTAAATCTTTAGAAGTGCGAGTTTAACTCCGACCGCATCACTTTCTTTGGACTAGTATTCAGTAAGGCTGGTATCTCACCTGACCCTGGAAAAGTCTCAGCGATTCGAGAAACACAGCGTCCGTCAAACGTAAGTGAACTTCGGAGTTTCTTGGGAATGACTGCCTACTGTTCGAGATTCATTTCTGACTATTCCACTGCGAGTGAACCTTTGCGCCGTCTAACTCGCTCGGATATTGACTGGCAATGGACGTCTGAACAAGAGAGTGCTTTTGAAAAACTTAAAACTTTGTTGTCTAGTGACATTGTGATTGCTTACTACAGCCCAAATAAACCCATCGAAGTTGTAGTTGACGCCAGTCCTGTTGGCCTAGGGGCTATACTTACACAACAGGACAATGCAGTTGCTTTCGCAAGCCGATCACTGAGTGGACCAGAGTCACGCTACAGTCAGACGGAGAGGGAGGCGTTGGCCATCATCTGGGCTCGTGAACATTTTGATATGTACCTGAGAGGTGCACCACACTTCCGTGTGGTTACGGATCACAAACCTCTGCTAACTATTTGGAAACGCCCTAAACCTCCACTAAGGATTGAACGTTGGGGACTTAGACTTCAACCATACAAGCTAGAAATTACTTACAGACCTGGCAAGGACAACCCAGCTCACTACATGTCAGGTCATCCTGTTGAGAACCACACTACGTCCAGAGAGAAGGATATGGCAGAAAAATACCTGCACTTCGTGGCACATGAAGCGACACTTAGGTCAATGAGCTTAGATGAAGTTAAGCTAGCAAGCAGTACAGATAAGACCATTTTGAAGGCAATAGATTTGGTTCGCACGGGTAGATGGAAGGAAATCAAATCCCTGAATGATAGTGAGGTCGATATACTGGAACTACAGTCTCTACGTAACGTCCGTGATGAGTTGGTCGTTTACTCAGACAACGTTCTTCTACGAAATGGATGTATCGTTCTTCCTAAGTCACTGAGAGCACGTGCAGTCAATATTGCTCATGAGGGACACCAAGGCGTAAGTCGTACCAAGGCATTTTTGCGGTCCAAAACATGGTTTCCAGGCCTGAACGATGCTGTGGAGAATGCGATGAAACACTGTCTAGCGTGTCAAAGTATAACAGATAAGCAGATTCGTTTTGAAACCCTGCAGATGTCAGACATGCCGTCTGGACCCTGGGAGAACCTTAGTGCCGACTTTTGTGGCCCGCTTCCCACAGGTGAATATTTGTTTGTTGTGATTGATGAATACTCGCGATTCCCTGTCGTTGAAATCATGAAATCTACTCCAGCCAATGCAACCATCCCAATACTGGACAAATTGATCTCTACATTTGGCTTACCAAAAGTCATAAAAACGGATAATGGAAGCCCGTTTAACTCCCATGCATTTAATGAGTTCGCCGAGAGCACTGGTTTCCATCATCGACGTATCACTCCAAGATGGCCGAAAGCTAATTCCCAGGCTGAATCGTTTAATAAGCCAATGATCAAAGCTGTTCGTGCCGCACGCATTGAAAGAAAGAACTGGAAGCAAGAGCTATTCAAATTCCTTCGCCAGTATAGGGAACACCTCACCCATCGACCGGATTTGCGCCATTCTCACTTCTGTTCAATCGTGAAACTAGGACCAAACTTCCACAAGTTCCGACATACAAACCGAATGCTGTTGATGAGTGTGCCAGACAGAATGATGAAATTGCGAAACGGAAGATGAAACAGAATGCAACATTTAACAACTCGCCTAAGATTATTCATTGTGGTGATGTAGTCCTAATGAAAAACGAGCAGAAGAACAACAAACTCGCCCCGAATTTTGATCCTAAACCTTATAATGTTGTGGCAAAAAGGGAAGTATGGTGACCGTCTCTTCCACATCTGGAATGGAAAAACACGTTACTCGGAACACATCGTGCTTCAAGAAAATTCCTTACACTCTCGCACCTGGTTCCGTTGAACCAGAAATCACCGAAGAGGAAGAGCTGATCCTCGAGCTCAAGGATGAACAAGTACCAATCAGTGACTCAAAATCGACGTCTATGCAGAATGCCGCTCCGACTTTGGTACCTGAAACTATTCCGAAATCGAAACCAACAGTTCAGTTCTCAGACAAATGTACGACTCCAGCCAGCAATGTAACCGAACCGTACATTACGCGATCGGGTCGAATCGTGAGGAAGCCTGCAGTTTTGAAAGACTTTGTAAAATAAACTGCAATTTTAGTTAATATTCAAAGTTGTAAATGTAATTTTCTAGTTGTGTTAAATTTTGTTTAACTTTATATGAAAAATCTGTTTGCTGTCAATTTTAATCTACTTCAATTGTAAAATTTTATTTCCGAGAAAAAGGAGGAATGTAATAACTGCATATTATTCATTTACATGATTGTTGCTATTTTAATGGAACTATTTCTTAATTGTGTAATGTTCAACCCAAGTACTCAATAATTTCCTGCGGTTATCCCACATGCTTTGTCTATGCGGATAAATACGATTACAGAATAAAAATGTCAGCATCAGGATGCACACGTGTTTGTTGGATTCTTTAGTGTTTCCCAAATATTACAGGCCTGTTCTTTGTTTTCTTCCATTTTACAACCCCTTGGAACCTCATCATAGGATTTGAAATTGTCACATGTTAAGGTACTGGGTGGCACTACAGTGGAGTCTCCAATTTTAGGTTCTATGATTAATACAGGTTCTCTGGAATACAAATTAAACTCTACAAGTAATTTAACTTCATACACTGAAGATATTTGTCATGTGCAAACAAATGCATACCCCATTCTCCTAAACATTTATTAGTTATGATATGAGTTAAAACTAATTTCATAAAATACTATATGGTGTTGTATAACACCATATAATGTTATGTCCAAGACAATTTCACTCTTGGAAGATATGCTTAATAATAAAATCATAAAAAATACAATTAGTTTCTCTAAATGTACAGTGTATACAAATGAATTTGGAATGTTGAAATAGTATAATATATTCATATTAAATGGATCATAATCAGATACAGATGTATGTTTGGATGTAATAAAAATACAGGCAGAGAAATAGACATTTTGTTTCTGGTATATCCAACAACTTCGTTTGGAAGAAATAACAAACCTGTATAAAAATACAGGGTGTACTTACCTATTCTGAAGCAAGCCTAGGGTCATGGTGTTCTTCCATGTTATTCATACCAGAAAGACTGTATATTGAACCTATAAAAATTATAAAATAAATATTCATACAGTAAATATTTTCTAATCAAATTCCAATCAAAACTTAAAAGAAACTTCGAAAGAGAGTGAGTACAAGTCTCTAGTTTCTCTAGTGTTGAAAAAATTTTTATGTCAATTAATATATAAATAAGTAATAAATTAGCTGATGCACTTTTAAATACATTTACACTATTAGTTTGAATGCCAGATTAGACTGGAATTGATCATCTTTCAGATATTCTACAGTTTAAAAGCCAGCAAGTTCTATCCATATCCATATCTTCAATATTTTAGCCAAAAAAAAAAAAAAAAAAAAAAAAAAAATAATAATTTTTGATAATGCAAAAACAGGGTAGATTTAAGAAGCAAAAAGAAATTTCTCAAAAAATATTTTGTTATTAAAGAGTCATTACTTATATGCACCCTGTAATTACTGTGATTATTATATGTATACTCCATTCCTATGATACCGGTGGTTCTACGGTACCGGGGTATTTCTATTTTCATCTCTCGCGTGCAAAAAATGACACCTGGTGGCCGGCTATTTTAAGACATGAGACGTGATACCCTGCGGTCAAGCTCTATCTGATTTATTTATTAAATGTTACGTTTGTTTGGTAAATAATCAGCTATTTTCCACAAGACACATAGTTTTTGTGTTATTTTGCACCACACTTCATACCAGACAATGATATAAGTTTTAAAACAACTAAATTGTAAACTTTTCCCGCAGATAGTCATCAGCTTTGTTGTCGTCTGATGTATTTTAGTCACGTGACATGTCTAAAAAATATATGGAACTCTATTCTTTTTAAAATTTTAAAGTTTTTCAAAGGAAAAATAATAGTGAAACTTGTGATGACATTGCTTCAAATTAGCCCAGAGATCAAGTGGACCAGTGATTTAGTGAAATTCATTTTCATTTGGTCCACACAAATATTCACTGGTCCATCAGCATACATATTGAGATTCTTAAAAAAAAAAAAAATAAAAATAAAATTTTTTCTTATTCCAGTTAGGCCTTAAAAAATCTAACTTGTTTCCTGCAACACTCCCAAAAAATCAAGGGTCGATAGCTCGGGATTTTTTTTCTCCTAATGATTAATAGGGTAAAATATCCCCGGACTGATTTAACCAGGTGTGATATTTACAGTGGACACCCAACATGGCTGTTTAGCGCAGAAAACGAACTTCTAAATGTTGTGGGAGAAACGCTTTATGTAACAATATAATGATTACTCTTTATATTTAAGGTAAATGATGATTAGGTTGACATATATTATATCCCAAATAAAGCTATAATTAACATATTTGGTATAAATTGAATCAGCTGAATGAACAAAGACAGATATGGCAGAAGAAAATTCACACGGGTCTGATTTTCTTTTACCGAATTTTTTAGGCCATTTTGTGAAAAACTAACTGTCCTAAAAGCACTTGATTCAATCGTTTTGACCATCTCACAAATAAACTTCACAGGTAAAAATTCTGGAAAGTTCGAAGAAAGTTTTACTGGTCGCTCAGACCGATTACATGAAGAAAATTACCGGACTTTTGAAATATTTACCGGTTTTGCCGGTGGGACCGGTGGATTTCAAAAACTCTGTTAGCCCCTGAAATAGTTTCAATTAAAATACATTGATTTATATACAATTGATTTAAAAAAAAAATATGTTTTATTATTTAAAGTGACATTTCCCCAACTGTGTTATTTAACTTGATTACAATCCAAGGAAGAAATAGGCCTAATATTTTAAAAATAAATGAAATTTATTAGATCA